AACGTTTGAAAATTTGAACAAGATATAGGGAGATTGTGAACTAATAGTAGGAATTGAATAACCGTATGAGAGAGATATGAGATGCAACTTTTGTTTCACTGAATAGGTCATTTTTAGTAGTATTTTTTTTATACGATGGATGACGGGAGTGCTCCTTTTCAGGAGTGATTTGGGGAAACATTTGTAAGGAAACATAATTTTCGGCCGAAAAGGTGTCGCTACAAGATAAAGTTCAATGTGTGCTCGCCCTTGAATGTGCAGTGTAAATTTTGACACTGTTATGGACGTCCTGAAGCAAAATCAATAAAGCGACGGCATGAAGTGTTTAAGGAAATGGGCAGTACAACAAAAGACAGGTTAAAGGTCACCTGACGGGAACTGTAATACCGTCTAGACCAGGGATGGCGAACCAATGGCACGTGTGCCACTGATGGCACGCGACACAATACTTTTGGCACTCCACTGATCAAAATAACAATGTTCACTATGAAGTATTACGAACAATAGCGAGTAATCGGTCAAGGGATAGCGAGGATTTCATTTCAGACACATTTAACTATTTAGAGAAGCTGGTTTATGTCTTTTTAACCACATTTTCATCTACCTATGCATATTTTTAGAGATGAAAACATTAAAGACCTCCTAAGAAACTGTTTAAGGGGACGCGGTACGATTTAAACAAAAATCTTTCATTTTATGGCTTTTACAATTTTTTCCTTGTAACCTATGTATATGCAATACGTAAGACAGAATATTTGCTCAAAATATCACAAAAAGCAATCCATTTAATTTTTTAAAAAATTTTTTAAAAATTTATGAGGTAATTTTAAATCGCTACTCCTCGTACAATAATTGACGTACATCCAAGAAATTTGATTTACATATTTGTCAAACCATGTACAACAAAAGTTGGTATGGGTTTGGGGATAACATGATTCAAATTCCTAAAAACAATTTTTTTATGATTATGAAAAAATCCCTAAAAAACGTATAAATTCTACGTTCAAATATTTTTTAAAAAATAAGTATTGCTTTGATTCAAAAATGCACACCAACTTTTGTTATACATATTAATAGCAATCTATAAAAAAAATTTAAAACATTTCATGCAATAGAAAAAAAGCCTTAGCATTTTAAATGAAAGAAAACAAACGATTTTTTTGTTCTGAGATAAATCAATTGAAAGTTTTTATTTACTGTAAAAAGATATATTTAAGTGCAATAAAATTACTAAAAAATTACTGTATGTACTACATGTACATGACAAAAGTTTTATAAAGGTATTATATGAAAATTATAATTTTATATGTTTAAAATTTAAAATTTCCAGTACCTCTTACATTTTTAAAAAATTGCGATAAATAACATACGAACCCATTTTACGATGATTTTAAAATAATTCTATTTTACATCTTCAGATATTTTTTTTACGTTTATGTTTAAGAAAACCCAGGACTATATGTAATCCCTTCTTTTTTCTTTGAATATTTTTCTTTTCGCAGATTGGCTAGTTTTACTTTTCGACGTGCTATGCGAAAAGCAAGATTATTTTGGCGATTTCTTTCTTTTTTACGTCTGTAATCACGTGTGGCAGCAATTTTTACTGCTTCTTCGCCAAGATCCAAATTAGCAGTCTTTTGTATTTCTTTTAAGGCTTTCAAAGTACCAAAGTTATACTCTGATATTGCCTCAGAAACAGCTATATTTACACGGCGTGATTTTGCTGAAGTTTCTTTAGAGCACTTACTCCAAATCACGCTATGCAGACTCTCGTTGCTGTTCTGAGTCAGACATCTGGCACATCCTTTCAAAAGACTATCAGAAGCTAACCTTTGATATATTGGAAAAATTTTTGTCAAGTAATCTGGATTTATTGGTGTTCCAATATTAAATTTATGTGGTGCAGGTTTTTCACCTTTAGCTAAGGCTCTTCGATAAAAACACCACGAATCTTTGCCAGGAGGGCATTTCATGTGCATTGGATTTTTGTCTGTCGAGATACTGTGATAAAGTGTGGCATATATAGATTTTTTCATGCCCTGAATATCTCCTTTATTTTTCAGAATAGCTTTCTGATAGTACTGCGTTATTTTTTTATTGTTGTTTCTTTTAGGCTGCCATAAGATTTTCCTCCTAAAGTGATACCTTTAGCTCTCCAATCTTTCACAAGATTACGTAAGCTGGTGCCTAACCTTTTGCTTACGTGATTAATACACTCTTCTTTCAAAATTTCAACATCTGGTCCATATATTTTTAGGCTATTTAAGAATTTATGAGTTTTAGCATCACCATCAGATAACAATGTTGTGTAACGAAAACCACATGCTTCTGATCGAGACAAAATTTTAGCTGCAGCCTTCATTTCCATTGCTCCTGATGTCCCAATGTGGTTAATCTGGCAGGAATTTTTGTGGCCAGAATACCAAAAATCGTATTCAGCTGTAGTTTCGCCTAATTCATTTTTCGCACTTATACATATAGGACAGTACTTGCTCATAATTTCATAGTCAATAACGTATCCTGTTAAAGTGTCGACTACACAGCCAACACCGATTTGGGATGTGTGTCCTCGGGTCAACCATGTCCCATCAAATGAAACAGCAATATCAGTAACAGTATTTGACCCATTTTGATCCAATTTGCTGTATGCATTTTGAACGCTGTTATGTACATAGTTCAACACAGTTTGGGAAGCAAGAGAGTACACTGAGTTAATGTAGCATTAATTTCATTAAAGGTTTTACTCGACATCAAAGGCATATTGAGAAACATGCAAAATTTTTCAACCGATGCATGGCCCCCACTGATTGCAAGAAATGCTTGAACAGCATGAACATTCACATCGAAAGGTGTAGATGTATTTGATTTTTTTTCAAGTCTTGAAGATGTAAAGCTTTCCATTTTTTGCTCAGAACATGTTTTACATACCAGTTTTAATTGATGAGAAAATCCATATTTATGTCCAAATTCAAGTTTTAAAGTTGACTGGTTGCAGCTACCACAAAAAGTATACTTGAAAATATCACACAAGGCATTTTTGTCAACAATTATATAACTTGGTCCATCATAGGTATCAGCAACATTTTCTTGTTCTAGTACACTTTTTTCTTGCATAGAAACTCTTTCATTTTTAAAAATGCTATTAGCACTTGAATGTTGAGCAACATTTGAATTGTGCTCTGAAATTTCCATATTGTTTTCAGTTTTTGTTTCAGTGCACCATCGCTTTTGAATACTTAATTTACTTGATTTGTTTTTCCTCTTTGTACGAGGCATGTTTAACTATTAAAATGCTGCATGAGAATACGTTTATATATATAAAAAAACTGTTAAACTGATAACGATAAAATAATTAGTCTTGAAAAAGACTTTTTTTGGTAAACCGAAACTAAATATTTCAAAAATATGAAATAAAAATTAACATAATAAAGAACGCAGTATAGCTCAGCAAATGTAAACAAACATTAAGAATGGATTACAATCTCTTCATTTTATTTCAAAACTGCTTAACTGTGTTAGAATTAATTAAGTTGGGGCTAGAAAATATGAAAAGTGCGTCTGCTAGAGCAGAATGATGTCAGAATGTGAATTCTGACGAGCATATTAGTTATCATAACTTTGGATTTTTTTAATTTAGAGCTTTGAAATTTTGTGAGGTAATAGAGAAATGTATAAGGAATAATTATGCAAAAAATTTTTTTTTTGATATTTTGACCGATTTTCGTCAATTGAATCGTAGCGTGTCCCCTTATAACACATATCACTTTAATTTAGTATGCATTCTGCTAAAAGTATATATGTAACATCTTACAATCCTAATATAAGTTATTTGTCCTCCACACACACACACACGCGCACATACAATCCACACTAATGTTATTTTAATTTGAATTACACGTATAACTAAAATATTTTCAACTATACAGTACAAAAGGTATTTTTTCGTAGTAAATAAAGAGTTTTGAGAGTTGCTAGTATTTAATTTTATTATTTTCCCAATAATCGCAAGTCAAAATTATTTGAAGGCACGTTTATATCTTATAAAACAATTCTTTAGAAAAAATGGCACGTTGGTCCATAAAAGTTCGTCACCCCTTCCCTAGGCATTCTCCGAACTACCAGGGGACCCGACCCGTGTTTCAAATTACTGGGGTAAATGGTCTTATAAAAAATTTCACTACAAAAAACCCAAGCAAACGAATGTCTAATGATTATAGTTTAAATACAATAGAGAGAGATATTTATAATAAGGGCAAGACCTTTGGTTCACACTGAGTATACTTTTTCTCAATTCCTACTATTAGTTCATACTCTCTCCTGTATATATTTATTTATAAAAATATATGTCTTGTTCAACTTTTCAATCGTTAATAAAATACTTTCTATTTATCCACTCAAGCTCAAATACATTTTTTAAACTTGTAGTGGATGACACTTGATGTTAATACAGTTTTTTCAAAGATTAATTCATTAACTCTGTTTAATTAATGAATAAATAGTAACAAACACAAATAATAGTCCAAAACCATATATAAAAAGGAAAATAGCTCGTTGGATTTCTAATCGAAAGGTCGTGGATTCAAATCCTACCTGGAATGGCCTCATTTCTGAGAATGTGATTTCTTTTTTTCAATTCCAACTATTAACTCGCACTGTCTATATATTTATTTATTTATATATTTGTATATTTATT